TTTTTTCTTTTTCTTTTCTTTTCTTTTTTTTTAAAAAAAAGGAAATACTAAGAGCTCTATAGAACTTCTTTAGGTCTGATGCTTAAAGGGTTGACTGTTCGCTGGCCAGCGTTATCAGAACTGAAGCTAAGTTTTACGGGCATTATATTTGCGTAATCATCCTAGGTTGGTATATGCTTGCTTCCAACACAAAGGTGTCGCTGTTGCTTCAAAGCATACACACGTATAATAACATCATGCGTGGAGGAACGAAAGAAGAATAAAGAAAAGGAATGCACAATCAAACCTTTCAATCCCTTTCTCTTTCATCCTTTTCCTGGTGTTTATTTGAGTAGACCTATCAGAGGACAAGTGAAATCGAGATTCAGAGTAGTTGTTCTTCAGTTGATTGGCTGTTACCAAAGGACTGAACGAAATTTCAAATAGGAAGGATCATGGAAGATCAGTTTCTTCTTCTTTTTCCAAAAATAATCCAGTTAAGCGATGGGATGGTAACGGTGGCAGTCTATCTCAGCCTTATCTCTAGGGCTGAGCGTGGCATACCGAAAACGGAAATGCAGCCAACATCAACCATACCGAGTGTGGAAAGCCATCACCCTCGCCGGCCCGCTTAAATAAACCAAATTCCTCTGCAAAATTCCAGTCCGGAATCATTCGGTTGCATCTGGCCCTGAATGGAGTTACATTCATCTTTTATCTCGCGATCGACCCAGTCACTCCAGCGTTCCTTCCTTTGTGGTCTATACTTAGGATGTCCACAGTGGTTATGGATTCGAACACATCCTGTGAACCTTCAAATACCAGTTGTATCTACATTTCCCAACTCAGTCGCCATTCACTGAATAATAATAATGTCTTTATCTGCACTCATGACATAGTTCGCCAAGTCGCTCTTTAATCCTACATTCGTTTGATTGTCATCTTACTTGTCCTTCGTTTCTGTTCTCCTCAGCCGACATCTCAATCCACTTGATTCCGCTTTACATGATACTTCAATCTATCTAGTAGTCTTAATACTGTTGTCCCGTCAGCTGCTACGAGGATGTTGCAAACACAACTACCAGCGGCCCCGATACGCGCTGGACCCCCATCGCAGACTGTCGAAACGGATCTGCCACCAGCCAGACCAACAGCGCCGGATCCATCACATCGATTTTACAGATCGATGGACAGCGTCAGCCGAGCCGACTCACCAAACCCCACAGAACCAGTATCGACAAACGAAGACGAATCCCAGGCCTCCATCGAAGACACCAGAAGAGGAGCCCTACACACCCTATCACTCTGCCAAAGTGTCATCACGACGCTTGAACTCACCCGCCTCCGCAAGTCCCGAACAGGCGTCTTCTACTGGCTCGCCTTTTGGGAGCGACTCTATCCACGGGCCTTCGCACGCTCCCTTGGCTCACGAGTCAATGCCGCCCTCACCAAAGTCGACATCCTATTCCGCACCGTAGCAAACGAACTCCACCAGCTCACCCTGCGAATGGAGTACGCCATCGCGTACGCCCCGACCGAGAAAGACATTCTGCTTATACTGGAACAAATGGAAGACGAAGTCGGCGTGCGACGCAGACGCAGACGCAAGAAGGCGCAAGCATCTTGAACAAAATGCGCGTGCATATCGAGGGCATCCCGGTCAAGGTGAGCGATGAGCTCTTCGATGACATGAAGCGGGGTGTGTTTGCTTTAGACGTCTTCTGCGACTATCATCCTGGAGATCCGGTGGCGGAGGAGCACGAGACCATGTGGCCTGAGTATTTTGTTCAGCAGTCGGGTATGGGCATGGTTGCTGTCTCGCCTTATCTTTATCGCCAGTGGCAGCAAGAGGCGGCATCGGCAGCGTCGGGGTCCTATATGCCTTTGTCGAGCTATACAGGGAATAATGCTGAGGTTGAGTACCTAGAGGAAGAGTATCATGGGGCTGACAATTGGAGGCCTGATGGTAGTCGGTCGGCGAGGCGTTGGTGAGAGGATCTGATTTGGGTGGCTTTATTGCTGTTCTTCTGGAGTTGGGATTATGGCGTTTGAATGCTGGAACTTCTTCGTAATGTTTTGTTTAGATAGATCCATTATTCCAGTTAGCTCCTGCTTTTAGGGCAAGGTGGTCTATTAACTAGACTTAATGATAAACTAAGACTTGATACATTTGTTCACGGTCCTGATGTGTAAACTTATATTCGGTATGTTAACCAAACCAAACCAATTATATACGCTAAAGAAGAAAATGAAAGTCTACCTGTGCATCGCGCGTAACCTTTATGCAAAATCCCATAACCCTCTGACAATGCTCCCCGGTGCGGTATCTACGCCTCCGTCCTCTTCCAACATTCGATCGGTAAATATCCGCTTGGGGATGTGATACTCAATAACGGGGATCCGCTTCATGGGTTTCTCCTCAGTTCCCAGTTCCGCTTGCACCATGCCCTGGTAGGTATAGTCCAGGAAATCTTCAAGGTTATAGAACTGTTTCGTGAATTGCTCAGATATAATGCGTGCAATCGCAGCAACGTTGGGATGATAGTGTTGTTGGAGGGAGTGAATTTCCCATAGACTGCTCTCTATGGCGTTTGTGCGAACCGGATCGGGCTCCTCTGGATCGAACGGGTCGTCCATGCCCTCAGCTTCCAATTCGGCTTTGATCTCGTCCTTGATAACGCGGTGGAGCATGAATGTGCAGGTGGGGTGGGATTTGAGGAGGTTGTAGATGAAGGGGACGATCACAACGATGGCGGTTGGAGGGGCGTTAAGCGCAAGACGAGAGAGACGTTTGATGAAGCTGGCGATAAGAGTAGCCGGCAAATGGGTGGAGGCGAGGAAAGTGTTCATCAAGCGGAAGAAGCGGGAACGGTGTTTGGAGTGGAGCAGGTCGGCATCGAGGAGCGAGTAGAGCTTTTGATAGAACTGTGGGTAATCCAGGTTCTTCTCCTGGATGAGGTAGAAGAGACCGGAGAGGGCGAGCAGGGAGGTTGCGCCGCCGACGTCGTAAGAGTCTGTGAGGAAGTCCATGAGCAGTTCAGGACGGCTAAACCAGGGCTCGATGTTGTGGACCATGATACGGAGGAGGGTCTTCCGCTGGGATTCAGAGATGTTGTTTCGGAGGACGGCGAGCCAGGCGTCTTGGGCGCGCTTCTTGTGGGAATTAATGGAGACGAGCTTCTTGTTCTTTTTGCTGGATTTGACGTAGAAGTTCTTGAATTCGTGCTCGGGGCTCGGGACCGTGTCGCAGGATGAAAGTATGGAGATGAGAATGTCGAGGGTTTCTGTGCTTTGTTCCGTATCTGCGATATCGCTTCGGGGCTTGTTAGCACTGTCTGGGACTTTTCAAGGGGATGTGGTGGTGTGGCATACGCAATCTGCACGAATGTATAGAACCGCACGTCTTCGTATTCCTTTGCGAACTTCTCGAGGAACTCGGACCGCAGTGCCTCATTGTCGCCAGTTTCGACAATGGCTTCGATGACATTCTTGAACAGACCAGATAACCAGACCTGAGTGTCTTCGCCAGGGATATGGGTAGCACGTTCGCTGATCATGCGCATGCAGAGTGTGAGGGCTGTGAGCTGCTTGGGGTTAGCATGAGTTGGACTCGGGAGCCATCTGGGAGCCACGAACCTTAGCAGATGTATCACCCTCACGCAGTATGGCGGAAAGCGCCTTCTGGTATTCGCGACAGCGTTCCTTCAACCATGCCGCAATAATCTTCTCGTTCTCTGCGGCCCTGCTTGTCTCCGCCATATCTCCACCGGCAATCAATCTGCTGAACACTCGACAGAGGGATACTGCGACGGCCAAATTTGGATTGGTAGCATTTTCGTCCACATTGAGCATCGAGATCAACTTGGCGATGTTGTTGTAGTATTTTCGCGACTCGGAAATCTGTTCTTCCAATTGAGAGATTTCGACCATCACATCTGCGCTATCGCTCTCTGCCACTGCACGACGTTTCGACGACGGGACACCGCTCTCTTTGAGGCTCTTTCTTTTCTTGGAGCTCGTGGCTCCGACCGTAGGGGCAGGCATTGTGTCCGAAAATTTTTAGAACGTAGTCTAAATGCAAATCGTACGCCTTTTGGTGCATTTACTCTTCATCAAACCATGAATTTTTGGAAATTCCTCGGTTAACGGTTTTTCCGATAAGCCGCGCTATACTGAAGTAGGCTAGTGTCTTCCCGCACCGCCCAAACCATCCCGACTTCAAGTCTCCTCAGTTCCGTTCATCCATCACATCTTGTCAAGGTCTTCCCATCGTTACAATGGCTTCGCGTCTTGCTAAGAGCGCCATTGGTATGCCTCACGCAACTCTATACGGTCCCGTCGAACACTCGATTTTTGTCGCTAACCCTAGTTAGGTGCTGCCCGGCTCCGGCCGACCGTCACGCGCAACGTCGCTCCTATCGCCAACCTGACCGTGTCTCGTTCGGCCTCCAGCGTCCCTACCGAGGACCCCAAGAAGAAGGCCCAGTCGATCCTTGACGCCCTTCCCGGCAACTCCCTGGTCTCCAAGACCGCCACCCTCTCCGCCGCTGCCGGTCTCTCCATTGCCGCTATCAGCAATGAGCTCTATGTCATGAACGAGGAAACCGTTGCTGCTTTCTGTCTTCTCAGTGTTTTCACCGCTGCTGCCAAGTACGGTGGTCCCATGTACCGTGAGTGGGCTGAGGGCCAGGTCCAGAAGCACAAGGATATCTTGAACGCTGCCCGTGCCGACCACACCAACGCTGTCAAGCAGCGTATGGATAACGTCCAGGAGCTTGCTGGTGTTGTTGATGTCACCAAGCAGCTCTTCGCTGTTTCCAAGGTAAATAAGCCTTGCGTTCTTTTGCAATGTGTTAGGATTTCATGAAACAAGGGATTGCTGACGATCGACTAAAGGAAACCGCCCAGCTTGAGGCCCAAGCCTATGAGCTCGAGCAGCGCACTGCCCTTGCCCACGAGGCCAAGCAGGCTCTCGACTCGTGGGTTCGCTACGAAGGTCAGGTTAAGCAGCGCCAGCAGCGTGAGCTTGCCGAGTCTGTCATCGGCAAGATCCAGAAGGAGCTTGAGAACCCCAAGGTCCTCCAGCAGATCCTCCAGCAGAGCGTTGCCGATGTTGAGCGTAAGTTCCAAGCATATATGCAGTTGTTGCTTTTGTCCGTTTCAATACTAATTTGGATCCATAGGCATCATGTCCTCCTCCAAGGCCCAGTAAATGGACGTTGCATGAATAGCCTCGCTATTAGCAATATGTATAAATTTAAGATCTGTTTCCTGTGCTACATTAGACATACCAATACGAGTTCCTAAGCAAAATAGCTAATGACCTAATGTAAATCGGATCTTTTTCGATATCTCTGAAGAAACTTCCGAACGCTGATCTACCAAGGGATGGGGGACCAAGGTCGCCCCTGTCGTTTGAATGTTCAAATACTCAGTATTGGCCATGCACAGGATGCCCTTATTCAAGTCAAACGCCGATTGTCTTCCATGTCTACTGTTAGTTCTTTTTTTTTTTTTCTCCTTTGTTGCAGTCTGATTTGCGTCTCTTCCAATTTCATTGTGCGTCTTTCGCAATTAAAATGCTGGATGGAAGTGAAACGGACCATCCTAAAGTGTAAGAGACTAGCTAAAAACATAGAAAAAAAAATTAACACTGCTATTTTTTTTCGGACTTAAAAAACTAACGCTCTATCTAGTGAGTGTACGAACGCCTGATTGTTTGTGGATGGTCTACTAGGAAGGTGTGGACCATCAGCCTGCATAAAAAGCCTTCGTTGCATGCCTGCTGACAAACCCACTCAATAATGCATGCATTTTTAAGACATTGAGACGTCATCGGATTCAGCTATCTCAGAAGATAGACCCCTTCTGTTGAATCTCCTTCATTGAACCTGGGCCGCTTTTGTGCTTGACTATTGGATCAAATCGACTGCGATAAAGAGAGATTGCGGTACACTTCATTAAGGGTATGCGAATCCAAACAATCAGGGGAGATCTTCATGAGTAATCCGCGGGGTAAACGCTTCAACTGTATGGCCGAGCGCAATGGATGCGACAAGAATGACCAGACTCATTGTATTCCGGCAACTGGGGGCCAAGACGACCAAAACAGAGATGAAAGAAAAGCATGACAGGCACTAACTTAAAATATCATCAATTGTCCTTGTACGAGGCTCACCTCTGACACTGCCCCCAACCTCAGCGCTTCTGCCTGCCTACCATTCGACCAGAAGGCTGAGGCTTTTTTTGCCCGTGTTTGCAAGATATTTCAACATCAACGGTTCCCCGGTTTTCCTTCTACTTGTCATCTTCTCTCCGCACTTACCAATTCCTCAAATTAAACGCTGCACACAATTCGGGTAGACTTCCCGAGGTCCGCTCCGCAGTTCTCCGAGCGATCAGCACGCCCTACAAAAATGCCTTTGCGAGAGATACTTCATAAGAAGGACAGAATCAATGATACCAGTGGCCAGTATGCAGCGGGTGTCCCCTCCGCGTTTCTGAGCCCGGTTCCTCAAATCATTCGATCCGATACCACCTCCCAGGAAGTCGTCGCCCCACCAATCTACGAAGGTGATGATGTCTATCACCAACAGAACAGACATCTCGAAGTGTCACCGCCTAGCTCTTCCTCGCGCCGTCGGTCACTGAATCCATTTAGTCGCTCGAGAGCGCCATCTGAATCCCTAGGATCTCCACCGTCTCAACCGCGCGAAAGAAGGCTGTCGCAATTGCTTCATCGCGACCGGGGCAGCTCGCGGAATTCCACCGCTACCTCGACCAATATCCCGTCTGATCTTCCGCAAATAAACAATGAGAAAGGTGATGAGCAGGAGAGAGAGGCTCAGTGGGAGAAAAGAGCAACGGTCTTGGTGCAGCGTAATCCGAATCTTGGATCTCCGTTATCGCCTTCTTCGCCGCGCTTCGGGAGACATAGTATAGAATCACGGTCAAGGAGCTCTAGTCGGAGCGGTTTCAGTGATCCTCAAGGAGATGTAAGAGATACACTGCAGTTGCGGTTGTACTGATTGTAGATTCGAAGCTAACGCCATTTATAGGTTAACATCCAAGAAGCGATTCGGCTCCATGAAGCTGGAGGTACGTAGGGAACAAGCCATAATAGAGGCACTCGAAAACATGTACTAACACAGGTTATCCTTGCAGAATTGGAGAAGTCAACGGAAATGTTTCGTCGGTTGGCAGATCCCAACGGTACGAATAACGCACTGAGCCAAGTACTTTACGGCCTCGCACTAAGGTAAGAACTACTCCACAGCATCTTAGGTTCTTTTGAACCCCTCCTATCAACATCCTACCTTCTAGTGCTGCCTTTTACTTTTCGTATTGCCAGACACGTTCTAACAGGATTCGTCTCCAGACATGGTTGGGGATGTCCCAAATCGGAAGAACAGGCAGTGACCTATCTCTCAGCTGCAGCATCAAACTCGGCATTGATTGAGTCCCAGGCTCTCCAAGCAGGCATGAAAAAGGGTGGTGCAGCCAAAGGGGAATTGGTCCTTGCTATCTTCGAGTTGGGTAACTGCTTCCGCAACGGCTGGGGAGTCAAGAAAGACCCTGCCGCAGCGCGCCAGTACTTCGAAACGGCCGCAAATCTTGGTGACACTGACGCTATGAACGAGGTCGCGTGGTGTTACCTAGAGGGTTTTGGCGGGAAAAAAGATAAGGTACGTTTGATTGCATCAGCGCATCCTTCTAGCGATGGTACAAGCTCGAGACTTTTGCTATACCTACCCTGGTCATCATGGTCTCGTTTCTCGGGCATCAATACCTTTGAGATTCGCATCACTTTTGCGCTTGGTCCTCTTAGGAACTCTTGTTTGTCCAGTTGACTAACCCAGTTGCGTCAATGTTTAGTTCTCGGCTGCTAAATATTACCGATTGGCCGAACAGAAAGGCAGCAAATTAGTTGGGAATTCTTGGTACGTTAGGCCAATCCTTAGAATATTTTTTATTTTTGGATCTTGGGCGTTTCCCCTGCAAACCTCGTTAAGATTGTGGTGAAGTGCCGCCTGTATGGATTCGCGCTTCGCTATCACCTGCAGCTATCATGTCAGGAATCAGCGGCAGCGCTTCAATCGATAGGCTCTCGTCGCATCTTTACAGCTGCGCCATGCAAACCGCTCTCACGCCTACAACCAACCACAATGCTCACCCATACCGACCTATGAATTGTCCGAATTTTAGGCTGACATGCTCGTTACTCGAATTACAGGATATGGAAAGAGAAATACGACCCAAAGTGAACCGAATGCTCCCGGTACCTTACAGCCTCGTTCCACCGAGAAACCCCGTTTATGGGCCCGTCTCTTTGTTCATCAGATGACTCTCGACTACATCATTGGAGATAGAGTTATTTCTCAGCTACTGAGATCAGCCAGCCAGACGTCTTCGCTCATAGGACGAGGGGGGAATATCATCGCCCTAATAATGGGGGTGGCCCATAAGGGAGGCACACTACACACCTACCTTTCACTTCATTACCATCTACGATCCATACTGGGTGCCACAAGCGGAAGGCGCCAGTATGATCTGACCTTTAACCAAGTGACTTGCAACGATGTTGATGACCCAATGCCAGCCTCATTTTGACGGCAACCCAATCTATACCATTGGTACTTTTGCTTAGTGTCTATCTTATGATTTGTATTCCACTTTATTTGGTTTGTCATTCTTGATTCCCTGTTGTACTCTGTTGATGTAACATTGGCCCCGGAAATTTGTTTTATTTGTCAATCTAATGTTGGTTTCCTTCTTGCATTTACATGCTTTGTACCCTCACCGCTGACCTGTTGCTGGTGGGCCTGTGACTCAATGACTTGAGTTCTTGGTGTGATGGTACTACACGCTATTCTTCCCGGGTTCATGAATAGATTCCAGGAATTTGGAGTGAAACACTCGATTTATATATATATATATATATGCGTGCTGTACATATTTCCTGGTGAGAGGAAGGTAGTACGTAGAGGCTGAGATTCGGAATGACTCATCGTGATCAGATTAAAGGTAGGTGGGGTTCATGTATGGCTGCATGTAAAGATGTCATTGTGCAGTGCTTCTACACCTTCTGCAGACGGCAAGGAAGAGTAAGTACGCTTACGGTGTACTGATACCTACAGATGCAAGATCTGGGAACTCGGGAGGATGTGAAACTCATATCGTCATCAATTGATCCAGTGGATTAGAGATATATGCAATGCAAACCATGATTTCATAATACATAGATTTGATTGACAAAAGAAAAGTGATTCAAAGGAATGGCATGGGCTACTGCCCAACAGTAAAGCCATGTGCAAAAGAAAGGCCAGCCCCGCTGAGAGGAGACCCGTATAGAAGTATTTCACAAAGGAAATCAAAAGACAGAAACAAGGCATGCAAGAAAAGGGCCACCCATATGTCGTGGCCCAACTGTCCAGAAAGTATCATCAACATAAAACATTAACAGGCATTTTTCATCATAGAACATATCAGTCATATCATAAGAATAATCGTAACAAGAGAACCACCCTTAGCCCAGTTCAGCTCACTCGCAATGCAACCCAACGCAAGAATAACAAGAGTAAAACAATAGTTCCTGAACCATAATCAATGCAATGCTCATCAAAAAGGTCGTTCTGTGGGACCGTTTTGCTGTTTTCAGACTGGAAACAGCGTCCAGCGTTAAATAAGATCATGCCTCCCCGAAACTCATAAACAAAATCATGAAAGAAGAACACGCAAGAAGTTTGAGTATACATAGATGCAATATGTTTCTGACTTTCCGTGAGATTCATTCCCAAACCCAACCCAAGAAAACGGTAAATCATATATACGCCGAAAATTCCGAAGGAGCGCGAAAAATATAAACACATCGCTAAATTGTGAGACGAGGTCAATGAAGAGCTAGTCGGTTAAATATATCCAGTCGAAGTAAATGGTAAGCTGTCTATGCATGCATATGGCTAATGTCTGGTTTAATCGTCGTATATCCGTAAAAATAAAAAAAAGCGCTAGAGTAAACTGGTTTGCAAACGAAAGAAGACGAGAGAGGCGAAAAAAGCAGAGGAACCGATGAGGACGTTTGCTTTCAAGGAAGGCTAGGTAAGGTGGTTTTCTCTGAATATGGTGAGGAGAGTTGAGATGGATGGTGTACGATGACTTCAGTCCCTGTTGGCTATGCTACTTAGGACTGACTGAAGCCGGCATGTTCTTCCTTGACGGGAGCAACACCGTATTCCTGGACCATTCGTCGGAAGTCCTGGATTACCTTATCAGGAACCCGATCCCACATGAGCGATCTCGAGTAGACATCAGATGTGGCTTTGCTCGGCATCTTCTGAGCAACATTGCCCCGCATCACAGCTAACGCTTGTTGGAGGTGGGAAGCCTGTTGCGGCTTGTATTCAGCACCGTTGTCATCATAAGTGGTCAAGGAGTTGTACTGATCAGCATTGAGCGAGAAGACCTGTTCCTGTTCCTGCGCCTTAGTAGGCATCGCCAACGAGTTGTGGAGCTCATCGAGGTTGGACGCGGGGGCAGTGCCTGCAGTCATCTGAGCCATCTCCGCCCCACTAATAGTTGTCGGGAGCGGGCCAGCCGACGCAGAGACGGCGGCCTGGTTCGAAGGCTGTGCAAGTTCTGGTGGGGAAGAAGACAAGACGGCCTTGAGGACGTTGGCAGACTCCGCGCGGTATTCCTCCGACAGCTGCGGAATAGCGCGAGCAGAAAGAGAAGTACCGTTGGAGGCGATGAAGGCACCAAAAAGGAGACACATGTAGAAAGCGTTCCAGCTGAAGGGGTAGTCACTGTTCGCAGATTTCTCTGTGCTCCTCTCGTTGGCAGGAGCGCTAGTAACTGGATCAGCCTCCAGGGAGAGGCTGTTGACCATGGTAAGTTCCTCCCAGGGAGTGTTGTCCATGGTGAGGTTCTCGAAGTCAGAGAAGTCAGTTGCCATATTGGAGGTAGAGGGTCTGGCATGTCTCTCAAGCTTCTCCACGGTTTCCTTAAGGATGTTGTTCTTCTTGCGAAGCTCGGCGGTCTCCAAGGTATGCACGCGGATCAGTTCCTCCTTTTCCATGGCCATATTGTTGAGATGGTGGTAGAGCTCCTGCTGCGCACCGAACAATTCGTTCTTCTCGCGCATAAGTTCAGCCTCCCGTAGCCTCATGTTTTGCAAGTCCTCCTCGAGGTCGCTGATGATCTGGGTGAACTGCTTCTTCTCTTCCTCCAGCTTCTCAGTATGCAACTTCTTCCGTTGGCGCGAATCCAGACTAAGTGTAATTGTTAGTGAACCATGAAGCGGGACAGCCAGTGAGGGTTGTACTTACGCAGCTTGACGGTTTCTCAGCAACCGCTTCTGTTGCTTCAGCTCCTTGATCTCCTCCTCATTGGTCGACTGGGAGATTAGCTGGTCGATGTTGCTTAACGTCCGCTCTGCTGGGATCTCAAAACGAGCATTCTTTTTTCGAATTCCATCCCGTCGGATGCTTAGTGGAGAGCTATTTCGATAAGTAGGGCTCTTGGTGGTGCGAGCAACAGCATCCGGCATGTCGGTGGATGCAGGCATCCATCCTTGACTGGACTGCGGGGACATGGCCACAGCACCGGGATGCGCAAAGGCCATTCCGGGACGGTAGGACATGGACGGGATGTTGATAGTGCTCACCGGACCAACAGCACCCCCCGAGAACGGCGCCGACGAGCCGTTGTCGAGGTCCGATGGGAAATGATGGTCGTACATGGCGGCGGGTGTGCATGAGCCAGTCTCCTTGGAAAGCGCCCAAGATGCCTGCTGGCCGTACGCGGTGGCTGGGTGGTGAGCACCGTCCAGTCTCATGAAAGGATTCGGAGCGGACTCGAAAAGATGATGGCCGACATGGGAGTTATGCCGGGATTGGTTGCTGTGAACGGACTGGGAGAAGTCGGACCAGACTGAATCACGATGTGAGAAAGCATCCGGTGCATGATCATATGAAGAGCGCCGGTGGTCGGCAATGGAAGATGAAAGTTCGGGCGACGTCGAGTCGAGAATCTTATCATCCAATACACTCATCTCGTCTTCCTCGGGAAATGAAGGCTTTGCATCCAAATTTGAGGGAGATTGTTGGTAAAAATCAAATGACGGTTGAGAATACCTTGCCATGACTGTGAATATGTGTGTATACGATGAAAATGAAGAATGAAAAAGGTTGTTTGGAGACAAGCGCCGTGATAGTAGTCAAGAGGCGGTGTGTAATCTGATTGTACGGAAAAAACGTGCGGGGTTTTTTTTATTTGGGTGGTTGGATTGAGGATATGATGAGGACAAGTAGAGAAGAGGGAGAGAGACAGGATGATTGGATGTCACGGTATAGAGAATGAAGGCGTTTTATAAAAAAAAGAATAAGAGTAGAAAGTAGGTAGAAAGTAAGGTCGGTAGTGGAGGTAGAAGAGTATGGAGAAGAGGAAGTAAAAGTAGGGTGGTAGTCAAAGTTCGAGGGGAGGAAAAGAAGAAGATCGGTTTCTTGTAAAGGGGAAAGAAGAGGTCTCTTGTGATCAGGAGAAGCCTCTTTGCTAAAAAAGAGTTTGAAGTTTAGATCCGTTGGATTCTGGAGGAGGGAAGGACCAGATGAAGAGGGAGGGGGAAGTCCATATATCTTTCAGGTTCGGGATGGTTCAGGGAAATCGTGATAGTGCCTCAGGTACCAGTGTATAATTTGATAGAAACAATAAAAAAATAAAAATAAAATCAACAAGACAATTAAAAACAAAATGAAAAAATAAAAAAGGAAATAAAATAGAACAAAATAAAATAAAATAAATAACACTAGTAAATAATATTAACCATAAATCTCAATCCTAATTCATCTTTCTCGATTGCTCCATAGAAATCTCTCCCAAGGGAATTCTCCATCGGCCCCTAAACACAAAGGGCCCATACGCCCACAGAAAGTCACTAAACGCTGCTACCAAAGACATGAGGACCTTCCAGCGGTCAGCGGAAAAGCTAAAAAGGCGAGGCGACGATTTCTGGCTGTTCCCGAGATTAACGAGCACCGGTCATTGGATGCTTCGTTGGGCAGACGTGCAGCTGGCAGGGGAATTTTTTTTCCTTTGGCACCGAGAGCCTGGATGAATAAGCAGGCGTTACTCATCAGTCCTTTTGTCCTGGATGAATAATGACTCTGACTGATTGATACTTGCGTCTCCCGCGGATTACTGTGTCCGTGGAGGTCACTCCCTTCCTAGATGTACCGACTGAGTGCTCGGTCAGGGCCTGGCGGGTAAAGAGGAGAGAGAGCGCGAGAATTCGGACTCTCACAGACTAGCAGCCTAACAAACTAGTACAAAGAAGGTATAGCAGTAATACTCAGTGCCTACTACCAGTATTTTCATGTGTAAGCAATACCCCTCCATGCAAGCAATGCACCACTCCTACATTGCTCTTTATACCGAGGACAGAGTATGTACATTGTATGTACAGATACCTATACAGAACTCAAT